CAAAAAAAAAAATTATAATAATAGTAAAAATCCCGACTCTCGCAAAATATGCAAAATATGAACAACAGCAAAACAATAGCAGCAACGCACATTAACAAAAGCCCTACAGAAATATTAAACTCATACAAGTTGTAAGCCTATTCCCTGCTTTGACACAACAAGTATAAATTGCGATACATGTCTGTATACATTAGCATATTTTCAGCAGAGAAAAACAAATGGCAGGATTCAAGTTACAAGCATGTTACCCACCTACCGATGTTTCAAGTAAATAAAAGACAAAAATTGATAAATGAGGACATCGTTGAAGTGCAGGCAAGCAGATATTTATGATCATGATGCGTGTGCTTGGGAAAGGTTCTTTACACGAATCTCCCTTACTTCACCCAGGTTAGAATGGGTACCCAGCAGCTATAGACAGCGAAAGACCTTGTCAGTTTGTTAGAGTTTGGGCACTTAATCGGCTGCTTGCACTGTATGCTTCCTGTGAAGCTGAGAATGTTTCTGAGTGTTCTATAGTCTGCTGGGGTAATAATATAGCGTACAGAAAAATAAGCGCATGAAGTTTGCTGTAGAGCGTGGTAATGAGCTATGCAAATGCTATTTATTTATTATTATTATTACTATCACTATTACTATTACTATTTCTATTATTATTATTATAATTATTATTATTATTATTATTATTATTATTATTATTATTATTATGATAAATAAGCAAAACCAAAAAAAGCAATTAAAAAAAGCAACCCAACAATTATAATAGCGCAGCATCTTGTCAGTATAGATACGCCGACTTTATGAGAATTAAAGAAAGTACGCGGAACAGATGGCCTGCACACCACTCTGTGCCTGCACACCAACAGTCCCTTCCCGAGGTCAAGTACTTGTTCTTAAGAAGTGTGTACCCAATTAACCTGTCCTTCACCTTTCAAGTCTCAGTCAAAGCCGTACTTAGGTGCGTATGGGGGCTTGGTTGTGTGTATTTGCCCGTGAGTCGTGAGATAGTGTGCACGCGTTTGTGTGAGTGTGATTCTCGTAAGAGTGAGTGTGTGTGTGTGTGAGTGGCTTGTATGGGTTAAAAAGTAAGTTAGAGAGAGAGGGAGTGAGAGAAAGAGAGAGAGAGAGAGA